CAACGCATTCTGTTGATAATTCCCCCAGATTCTAACTTCACCTGAAATAACAGAATGACAACAAGTAAGACCGATGCAGAACGAAAGGGTACAAACAGAACATGGCCACTACACAAGCACTGTCACCTCAGCTGGTGATATATATATATATATATATATATATATATATATATATATATTAACACACATCTCAGTTCAGAATGTGTGCTAAACAAATCAGGGTGCAATAATCTTTATAAAAAGAAAAAAGATTCATGATCTGCTCGTGGGCGCGACACTGCTAGGTTGCCCAAGCCAAAGTAGGTGAATTTTCATGGGGAATTCACAACCGGAGCGTTTGGCTAGCTAAAGCCTGACTCGCAAGGCAGCGGAGCGGTGGGTAAAAATTATCGCAATTCATTGGGGGCCGGTGTCCAGTTTATCGGATCATACACCCTTTGGATGGGGTCCCAATAAAACAAAACACGATGACGAATTGAGCCGGTGACCAGTGCCACAACCAGGAAGGCGTGGTTGGTTGGTTTGGAATCAGGGTCTTAAGCCAAGTCCCCTAGGTGAACTGCCAGTGCGGTTCATCAACTCGGTTATAGCCTCGGATGTTGGTCATTCCAAGTCACCATCTTCAACCGCGTAAACGGCTTGAATGATGCATCACTCTGGCACTACCGTGTTAAGAAAACGTGTTTCGGTGAGTGGTGCTATTCATTCTCGGTTTATTTTGGATCACAGAATAACAATGATCCCCTGAACAACAGGAGGCACGTGCACAGATGCAGCACGATAATCCATTAGGCAAATTAGTATGATTGGTTTGACACACGGTGTGAGGCCAGAGTACAGTGCGATTGCTCCATCGTTTACCATCGTCTCGTTCCTCTCGCCCGTGACCTTAAACAAGTGAATTCCCTCTGATCCTTTCTGTGATCTGATTGGCTCATATTCCACGATCTGTGGCGCTTAAAATCCCTCACCCTGACACGAAACTGTCTGATTACCGGTTTGTACGTTTTGTAATGCTCTTGTTGTTACGTCCAGTCCATTCATGTATTGATGGCACTCCTGCTGCACAGTCGAAGTTCACTGCGCCATAATACTGTTTATGCTCCTCGACCGTTCTCGGTTTTCGGGAATAAACTGATCGCTTTAGATATCCCCACAGTGTGACAGTATTCCAACTGTTACCATTCTGAAGATAGAAGAAAACTATCTTCACCGGATTTCGCTATGCAAGCAGCAGAATGGAAAACATATGGAACAACTTTTATAATATAAATACAATTATTTTCATAATATTTGTTTTTTCTTTCTTTCGGAATTATGTCTCCGAGAGATCGTTCAACACAAAAATAAACAAGTTGGGGAAAAAACAAGAGCCTACATTAGGGGATATTCTTGTCCGTTATTAAGTCAAGTTCAAAGTTTTATTATGATTATCTGTTTACCGAACCCGCTTCGAAAAAATGGTGCGTGTATCTTAGACGAGTCAAGCGTTGGCCCAGTGTCATAATCGCTTGAGCATTTTCCATTCGGAATTTCCCACATGGTGCACTGCTCCACAACTGATTCTCTACCAACACTTGGACAGCATCGGATTCGGAACCTATCCTCCTCCTGTGCCAGCTCGAAAATCACACGACCGATTGGGTTCATTTATCGATCGGTCGAATGGTTCAACCGCAGCAAGAGTGCCCAGCTAACCCGAGCGAGAAGCCACCTCTTGTTTACAGCCATGAATCTCAGGCAGACCCAGTGAACATTGACTGTGCATCAGGAGTGTCATCAGCACACGGATGGACTAGATTTGACAACAAGAGCATTACAAAACGTACAAGTCAGTAATCAGACAGTCTCGTGTCGGAGGGAATTTACTTATTTAAGGTCACGGCTGAGAGGGATGAGACGATGGTAGACAATGGAGCAATCGCACTGTACAGGGAACTACTACAGCTTATTCGCATCTTGTTTTTTTAAAGTCTACCAACTGAGTTGTTGGAGGGACGGTAACTGAAACTGGATCACGATCGTATGTGAGCACTGGAAACGGACGAGTTGTTTTTCTTTTTTCAAATACAGGCGTGATTGATCATCGATGCAGCACTCTTCCCCGTGCACCATCGACCGTCACATTACTGACGTGAGAACAACATGCTAACGGCATTTAGAAGGCAAACCGATCGAATCACTCACCAGACTGTCCCGTTTGCGTCCGGTCAGACCGGAAACACTGCCAAGAGGCAGATCCAAATCAGCCACTTTGGCACCGGTGGACAGGTCATGAACAGACAGACAGCTCTACAACGATCAACGGCGAAAACAAGGAAGTGAAAACGATTGAGGGGGAGGGAGATATCTATTGAGAACAATCAATAAGGAGAACAAAGAACATAAATGGGATCAATTTCGAAGTGTGCACCATTGTGACCATAACAATGACACCATGAAATCTTCGGATTGAAAGCACAGTTTGCCCTAATGAACAGGGAAGTCAAAAACGCAAGTCCGTACCAACTTATTATTAAACGGCTTATTTTCTTCACGATAAAAATACACTAGCCCCCGTACCTAATTCTCCTGATTGGGCGAGAGAGCAGTCCGAAGGCTTTATGTTTCATCTTTATTAAAATGTTATCTTTTACCCTCTTCATATTGAATGCATCATCATACAGTTGATTCTCAGGAATAGAGAAGCAGTCAATCAAATGGTTGACACGGTTGATAAGAAATGGAGAATAAACATAGACGTGATGGAATTCGAACACACGACCTTCGAGGCGATGTTATGATGATGACGATCTGGATAGAATTCTCTGGAGGAGGGGATAAAGATCTGTAGAACTTGCAATCTTTATAGGTAAAGTGAATTGGCTTTGTGTGGCTGTGCCGTCAGGGAGCCACGTATTACCTGTTTGGTCCTCCTGTTTATTTAAGCACGATGTCCACACCCATACTTCCTGTATTCTCGTCTAAGTTTCATCGCAGGTAGTTGCTCAAAATCGATTCGGATTTTAACTCCGTTTGGAGTGTACTAATCGCACACAGTGTCAGAGCAGTTATCGTGATCTGATCCAAACCACGAAGCATTTTCTTTTGTGCCTATCGGGTGATCGTCATAAGAGAGCAGTTGGGCCCTTGTACTGCGTTTTACGGTCGAATCTGGCTATATCGTGAGTTCAACGTATCATGGATAGTTTTGTTTTCCTACCGTATCACGGGATTTTGTAATAAACTCATATTTTTATATATTTGTTATTTCATATTTCTGTAATGGCGAAACCTTTAATTGCATCGGAAATGTTTGAAAGAGTGCGAAAACAGAACGCATCACAAGTTTATTAATCACTAGAATATTACGGAGTAATAAAATATACGACGGTCACTTCGTGAATTCTCGCCCGTAGTGGACGTATGACTCTGAACCCTCAGTTTTCGTTACATTTTTTTTTTACCATAATCATAGCGCTGAACCCTAATCCTCACGAAAAATGAGGACGGTTTGTACGGAGAAGGATGCGTTTGGTCAGAGTGTCTGTGTGTAGCCGGGAATCGTTCACGATCTAGTGACCACATAGTTTGTTGGTGCTTCATGTTCGCCTTGAAAGAAAACGGGGGTGACATGTTCCCTAGACGAACGGACTGTTGAAAACAGATACCGGACTGCCTGTTCTTCAACGCGAATACAAACATCGCTGCTAACTACAGTGGGTGGATAATCTCTTTGGGGAGCTAGAAGACGTTTTTATTTGCATCCTCCCGTAACTGTCTCCATACTTTGACCGGTACTGTCGAAGAGAACAGAAAGTGAATGAAATCTGGATTGGATATTCGAAGACCCAGAACAGCTGGGTCCTCATTGTGTACGATGTCCGGTTACCCCAATCCGCATTGCTAGTCTGGTGGGGCAACCGGATGAGCGATGCTGAGGTCAGGCGTAGAGTTTCAAGTAAATGCGGTCTTCCATTGGAGTAAGTAGTCGAAAACAGACAACTATGAATGTTCTCGCTCTCATGATTTCGCACTCTAAACCGTCACCAATCGAAAG